CTGTCGGATCCCCTGGGACTGGAATTATGGACAGTTGTTAGCTACCATGTGGGTGCTGGGATTCAAACCCAGGTCTTCTGCAAGAACAATCAGTGTTCTTAACCGCTGAGCCATCCAGACTCCAACCCCCCCCCAGTATATTTTTTAAAAATTATTTTAATATAAATAAATGTTAACATTTTATTTCAAAATGCCACTTCCCTTGGTCATCCTCCCTTACCTGTTAAGAGTTAGCACCAGATTTTCACACATTATTTTCAATTTACACATTAAAGTTACATAAAATTAACACACTTGGACTATTTACTAAAATAGGGTGATTGTGCTTATGGTCCACATATGGGGTCCTCTCCCATCCCCACTGACTCAGCCTCTCTGGTGAATTTACATTTAATGTTTGTGAGGAATAAAACGTGTTAGATAAGACATGGTGGAAAGGCAGAGCTATGTGGGTTAAAAAGTTTTGATTTTTAAAAAAGCAGTCAGCCCAGTGGCTAACAATAGTCTATAACTCCAGTTCCAGGGGTATCCGAAGCCCTCTTCTGACCTCTGCAGGCTTTTCACGACACGAGTGCATTTACACACATGCAGGCAATACACTGATACACATAAAATAAATAAGTAAAATAGTGAAAAAAGAGTAAGAGACTGCAGAGTGTGTGTCCCTGGGTAGGACTCCTATACCAACCCTCCCCCGCCTTCATATCTTACAGAGTACTGCTGAAGTTTTTCTTTTAACAGGTTCAGCATTCAGATTTCACATTGAGGCTCTGGTCTATTTTGTCTGGGGTGTTAGATATGGGTCTGGTTTCATTCTTCTTCATGTGGACATCAGGTTTTCCCAGGACCATTTGTTGAAGATGCTCTTTCCTCCAGTGTGTATTTTTCATGTCTTTGTGAACTTTTAGGTGTCTATAATTATGTTCACTCATACTTGGGTCCTTTAATTTGTTTCATTGGTCTGCATGTCTGGTTTTTGCCAGTCCATGCTGTTTTTGTTATTGTGGCTCTGTGGTATAGTTTGAGATCTCATATGGTGATCCTTCAAGCATTGTTTTTTACTCGGGATTATTTTGGCTGTCAGGGGTCATTTGTACTTCCATATGAATTTTAGAATTTTTCTGTCTCTGTGAAGAATGTTATGGAGATTTCTATTGGGATTGCATTGAATCAATAAGTTGCTGTTTGTCTTAAAAATAAATTAAAAAAGCAGTCAGAAGATTCTCTCTCTCTCTCTCTCTCTCTCTCTCTCTCTCACACACACACACACACACACACACACAAATTTTCATATTTCTGTGACCAATTATGAGACAGAAGTCTTAAGGAATGAAGAATTTGTTTTGGCTCAGGGTTTGAGGGACTGCAGTACCCCAGGGAGAGGAACGGGTGGTGGAGGGCTCAGTCTGAGGCAGCAGGAATGACCTGCGCCTGGCTGTGATGTGCATTAACCAGGAAGCAGAGAGAGCTTGAGTCAGAACCAGCCCTGGCTATAAACCATCAAGGCCTGCCCCTAGCAACCTAGAGCTACCCCCTCCAAACCCCAAAGTTTATACAACCTCCTCAGTGCCACCAGCTGGAGATCAAGTGTTCAAACTGTGAGGACATTTCACAACCAACCTGTAACATGCATGTATAAACACAAGTCAAAAATTGCTTCCTTTAATGAAAATAAAACAGCAACGAACTATGTACTACATTAGTGAGTGGGCAAATCACTCCACTAAAATCTCTGTGGGTTAAGTTTCTATTTGGCCATGAGACCACTAGCATTTGCGAGCTCTCTTGTAGAAATATCTTCCAGGCCATCTTCTGTGGTCCCCTAACCACAAATCCTTTCTGGAACCAAACGTATTACTTGTTGCTTGCGCGCGCACGTGCACACGTGTGTGTGTGTGTGTGTGTGTGTGTGTGTGTGTGAAGGCCAGAGGTATATCCTTACGTGTTTCTCATTCAACCACACAGGCTATTGCACACTTTCCTTATTTCTTCCAACCCGCAGCTGATAACTCTATTTTTGTGCACGCATGTGCAGTGCCTGCCGTATGGGCAGAGCAGGGCAGTTAATACATCACCATGCAGGGCACAGAGGCTCAGCTGCTCTATTATTTGAACTACAAAATTACATAAAGGCATGTTTTTGGAAAGTCCCCAGAATAATATAATCCCTCTAAAGCAATGCATGCACAGTGCGTTTTCTATCTTGAGACTTTTTAAAGTCAACGCTCGCCCAATGAGGACATGAGTTATATAAAAGATTGACTGCATAAAGCTACCTCCTCTGTCTCATTTAAGATTATTTGCATTTGAACAACAGAAACCAACTCCAGTTACTGCAAGAGCAGCGAACTCGTGTACAACACAAGGCCATAGTCCCTAGCTCAGGCAGCAGGGCTTCTGGAAGGATGGGAATGGGGAGCCAGTGCACCAGTGGCCCCTTTTCTGTTGTCCCCACTTCTCAGGTCTCTGTGGTCAGATGTGGCATCCTCGGAGATCCCGGATGGATCCATTAATTTCACCTTCTGAGCAGCCAACTTGTCCTTCCAGCCTTGAGTTAAAAATTCTCCGAAGAGAAATGGACTGGGCCAGCTCAGATCAGTAATTCTTCTCATTTCACTGGCTGCAGAGGGGAAGTCAGACACTTGTGCCTTCTGCAAGCCCACTCTGAGGCAGGTTCACAGACCCAAGAGCCTGGTGACTATAGTAGGCTAGCTCAATGGTAGCAGGTATCCAGGGAAGTAGGCCCTAAAAATGCTGGCGGAGGGAACTGTGAGCAAGCCTGAGCCTTGAGGTTTTCATGGAGCTTAAGTGTTCTAAAAGATTATCTCCAGGGAGAATAAGCACAGCTTTCATCAATACTTATGGTGTTCTGGGCTGGCAAGATGGCTCAGCAGGTAGGGGTACTTGCTACAAATCTGAAGACATGACTTTGATCTCCAGAACCTTCATAGTGGAAAGAGAGAACTGACTCCTACAAATTGTCCTCTGACCTCTCCATGCACACCACGACACATATGCACTTACACAAACACACACACACAATGTGAAAAAAATTAATAGTGTCCCCACTAACTAAGTCACTGTGTGAACACATGGGTATTCATAGTAACCTATTTTTAAAAAATATATTACTGGGGGCTGGAGTGTTGGCTCAGTGGTTAAGAGCACTGGCTGTTCTTACAGAAGACCCGGGTTCGAATCCCCTACATGGCAGCTAACAACCGTCTGTAGCTCCAGTTCCAGGGGATCCGACAGCCTCTTCTGTCTTCCTTGGGTTCTGTACAACACAGGTGCACTTACATACATGCAGGCATAACAGTCATACACATACAATAAAAAATAATTTAAAAAAAACCACACTACTGTACGAACATGAACTGAAAATATAAACCACATGATGGGGGGGGGAAATCCACCCTTCTGTAAATAAACCCCCACCATATGCTCTGTTATGTTAGCAAGTCCAATAAACTTGTTAGGGTTTAAAAAAAAAAGAATAGAGCTAATGGAAACCCTCATTATTCCACCAAAGTTGACTCCATGTTGGCAAATTCTTTGGCCTTTGATTTCTTATCCCTATTTTCCCCCCTTAAACTTCATTGTATATATTTTTTTTCTTTAAAAAATTTTTATTTGTACAGCTTAGGAAAAACTATTTTTTCCATATACGCTGGTTCAAATCTTTGAGGTTTCTTGATTCTGTTAAATATGAAATTACACATGGAGAAAACACCTGGAAACGGGTGTTAGGATTGAGTATAAAATTAGGACTTATAATAGAGAGTAATTTTTCAAAATAAAAATTTTGGATTATTTCAACTATTAAAATATTCTATTTCTTCAGTGATTCTAACTTTCATATAAAGTATCAGGTTTGGGGGCTTCTTTTTAACGTTAAAGTATTACATTTTTCTTTTGGTTTTTAATTATAGAGAAATACAGGCTGAGCATAAAAAAATTCCCGCAATATGTAAAAAAGACACAGGCATTTAATGTTTTTCCCCCATCACATGCTCTTCTCCAAAGGAGCTGCGTTTAACCATTTAGTATTCAATTCCATCTAAAAAGTTATATGCATTTTTGAGCAAAAAAGAAAAAAAATCTATAGAGAATGAAAAAAATTAAAGTCATTATATTTTCAAGCCTTAATATAATTTTGAATTGCTCAAAAACTCACAGGCAATTGCTGTTTTTACTTTTCTGTAAGGAGATACAATTTTTCAAAAAGGCAGTCAATGCCCCACTCTCTGTGTTGTTCTTTAAAAGCATCAGTCTCCTCAAGGCAACGAATAGTGCATTTTGGACCTGAAACAAGAAAGGTTACAAATTAAAATATTATGAAGGACATCAGAGATGCTTCTAGAAAAACTCTAGATGATTTTGTGGCTGAAAATCTTTCCCTCTTTTGTGGGTGTATATATGTCTGATGTATGTATGCATGTTAGTGTGTGTGTGTGTGTGTGTGTGTGTGTGTGTGTAGGCCAGAGGCTGTTGTTGGGCATCACCTTATCTTTTGAGACAGTGTCTCTCATTGAATCCAGAGCTCATGGATTGGATAGACTGGCCAGCAAGCTCTGGAGATCCACCTGTGTTCCCTCTACCCCCAGCGCTATGGTTACAGTCATGTGCAACTGTGGCTGGCTTTTACATGGGTGCTGGGGATTCAAACTTTAGTCTTCGTGCTTGTATTGCAAGTACTTTACTGACTGAACCGTCTCCTCAGTCCTCTCTCTCCTTTTTTTTTTTGAGATAGGATCTCATGTAGCCTTGGCTGGCCTCAAACTCACTATGTAGCCAAGGTTGACCTTGAACTTCTGATTCTCCAGCATTAGCCTCCCAAGTGCTGGGACTACAGGCATACGACACCACATTGTTATGTGGTGCTGGGAACCAAAGTCAGGGTCTCATGCACACTAGACAAGAAAGAATTCTACCAACTGAGCTACAGCCCCAACCTTTTTCTTCTTTTTAATGGACATGGAAAAATACTAAAGGCAAATTTTCTGAGCTCTGATTCGTTATCATTTATAACTCCCAGGGGCAAAAACTCTCCAGGACACTTTTAAGTTGTTTTTTTTTTTTCATTGTTGTTTTTTGTTTTGAGACAGGGATTCACCTTGTCTTGCCTAGAACAAATTATGTAACTAAGGATGACCTCAAACTCACAGTCCTGCCTGAGCGCTGGGATTACTGGGTATACTGCCATTCCAGGCTCCAAATGTCTTTATCATAAAACATACAGTTAAAAAGTCACATTCTAGAGACTGGTCCCCTTTCCAAGATAAAACAGTCTTCAATAAAGTAGCTTCTACTTTTCAGAAATTGCAAATACTGCCAAGCATGATGGTGCATGCTTTTAATCCCAGCATTTGAGAGGCATAGGAAGGCAGATCTCTGTGAGTTCAAGGGCAGCCTGGTCTCCATAATGAGTTCCAGGCCAGTTGGGGCTATAGGGCAAGAGTTTTTTATCTCAAAAAAAAAAAAAAAAAAAAAAATGCATATACTAATGTCTCACTAGCAGCTCATAGTTAACTGTTTATTGATTTAATTCTATTTTTGAGATACGGTTTTGCTCTATGGTCCAGGCTCAGACTGGAACTTTCAATCCTTCTGACCTGGGTGCTTGGATTATAAGTGGGTTCACCAGGCTTGGTTTGCTGACTATATTTGAATTGGGGCACTGATGCCAAGCCTGAGGACCCAGGATTGATCCCTGAGACCCACATAGTTGAAGGGAGAACTGACTCCTAAAAGCTGTCCTCTGACCTCCACACGTGGGCACGCGTACACACATTAAATAAAGGCAATAAAAAGGAGCATAACTTACCAAATAACTTTTTAAGTTCAGCATCCGTAACATAAAACGGTGGGCCTAGGAAAAAAGAAGTCTGCTGAAAAACAATTTCTCTAAGACTAATTCCACAGACAAGTGAATTCTTACAGCCTCCTTCTCAGCCCATTTCAGTGATGTTAAGGATATTTATCATATATCTACTTAAATTTCATATAGGTGATGTGGCATGCCTTTATGATTTGCTTTGCTTTGTTCATTTGGGAGTGTATAGTTGTTTGTTTTGAGACAGGATCTCCTGTATTGGTCTGGTACTCACTAGCTAGTCAAGGATGACCTTGAACTTCTGATCCTCCTGCCTCCATCCCGAGTGCTGGGATTACAGGTATGTACTACTACATCTGGTTTGTGTGGTGCTGGGGGTCAAACTTGAGGCTTCATGCATGCTAACCGAGTACTCTACCGACTGAGTCACATTCTCAGCCTCTGATCTGGCTTTTGTACATCTCATAGCAAAGAAATAGCACAGTTCAGAAACACTGCAATCAGAGTGGGTGTCTCTCATCTTCGGGGCCGCTGGGTTCCTCTTTCCTACAACCTCTGCCTTACATACTCCTGTCACTCAGCTTTGAGCACCAGCTTTGAGAAATCATCCCTTCTGTCCCTTGGGAGGAGTATTCTGAGCCTCTGCCCAGACAAGCCTGTGGTGCTGCTTCCCACAAGCCTTCCTGGGCCTCCTGCTCATGTGTGGAGTTCAAGTGAGATGAGTGGAGCCAACTTCTGCCCCCACTAACTTCTGTTTCTTTCTGACTGCCTCAGACTTAATTAGGGACATTATGTTGCATCTTCCAATGAGTTTTTTTAGACTTAATTTATTCAAACAGAACAAAAAAAGACTAACACATGTAAATATTAATACAACAAGGCACTTAAGAAAAGATCGATTAAAAATCAAAGAGTTGAATGTTTTGGCTCATACCTATAATCCCAACACTTGGGAAGGAGAAGCAGCAGGATCAGGGGTTCTAGGATACCCTAGACTATGCAGTGAGCGCAAGGCCAACACAGGCTATGTAAACCTGTGTCTCAAAAAATAAAATAAAATATAAAATAAGATAAAAATAAAATAAAAATAAAATAAACAGGGAGCCAAGTGTGATGGTACATGCCTGTAATTCCAGCTCTCTGGAGTTCAAGGCACTACCTTAAAAATAGCTAACCAGACAAACATCTCTCCCCGCAAACAAACAAACAAGAATCAAATCAATCTTATACATTAAAAGTCTCAATATTTGGTTTCAACCCCTTGAAAATACAAGTGTGGCCATGGCAAATATGAAGCTTTGGTGTCCAAGTCTGGGATGTGGCTCAGTGGGAGAGCACTTGCCTAACACATAAAAGGTCCTATGTTCCATCCCCAGTACTGCAGAGGTTCCCCCCAAACACAGCCCGATGAGTCATCTTTTTTAGAAATTCAGTACAATGAGAGTCAGGCTGAGGGTATAACTTGGTGACAGTGTGCTCCCCTTGTATGCATGAGGCCCTGGCTTTGACCTCACCACTGCAAAACACAAAACAAAACCAACAAAACCAAAGAGAATCATCATAGAATAGAACAAATTAAAAAATTTCAGAAATTCAAAATAGTTTAGAGCTAGGCGTGGTGGCACACACCTTCATTCCGGGCACTTGGGAGACAAGTACAAGGCTCCATCTGAACCTGAGCTGTACAGTGAGATGTTGTCTCCAAAACAACAAAAATACCTTGTTGTAGAGATCTTCCCATAATCCCCGTACTTCCCCATGTCCCTTCCTAGTTAGTCTGACCCCTTGTGAAGCAGTATTTGTGTGTGTTAACATCTGCCATGCTTATCACCACCTCTGGGGACAGCAAGGCCACGCAAGACCCATGGCAGGCCAACCCAACTCCTCCTTCCTCCTAATCCACTTGTAAGAGTTCTCTTTACAACAGGATCATCCATTTCTTCCTTCCACAATCTGAGCTGTGGCTGATTAATAAAATGGGAAAGGAATGTAAGAAAACATGTACAGTGTGGGAAGAGAAAAAAATGTTTACTGTTCCTCTTAGGCCAGTGCAGAATTAGCTTCATGCTTTGTGGTCATTTGGATGAGACTGTCCCCCATAGGGGGACACTTGGTCCTCAGTTGCTGTTGCTGCCTGGGAGGTTACAGATCTTTAGGATGAAGTGCCTTGCTGGAGGAAGTTCATCAGTGGGGGAGGCTGTGGAGAGTTCACGGCCTTACCCCATTTCCAGTTTACTCTCTCTGCTCTGTGTTGGTGGTTGGAATGTGATTGGCTAGCTTCCTGCTCTGGCTGCCTGCTGCCATGTGGCCCCCACCACTATGGACTCCCTCTGGAGCTGTAAAGCCAAAATAAACTTTTTCTTCCATAAGTTGCTTTGGTTATGGTATTTTATTACAGCAACAAAAAGTAACTAAGACATGCACAAGTAGTATATTTCCTATGAGGTAAGGTAGGAAAAAGTAATTCTTACCCAGTCATAGAATTAAATCAGGAAATTAGGCAAGCAAAGAAACAAAACCAGTGTTACCTGCATGCTTTGTTGGATCATAAGAAAGAATAGCCAGGAGGTATTGGAACCCTTTTCTCAGTAGGGACAACATTATATCTGCATAGCTAGAAGGAGCACAAAAAAGTGTGTTACATTTCTCTACAGAGGTTGGAGGAGGATGCGGGGCAACGGAAGCCAGGATTTACTACCAACACGACGGAGTTTGAGTCTCCTAGAAATCAAATGAACTTGGTTCTTGTTTTTGTCTTTTGAGACAGGTTGACTTTAAACTAACAGTGTAGCCAAGAATGACCTTGAACTTTTGACATTCTGCCTTTACCTTCTGAGTGCTGGGATGATGGGCATGCCGTTTTATGAGGTGCCAAGGATGAAACCCAGAGCTTTGTGTTCTTGTTTTAAAATATTTTATTTATATTTATTTTATGTGTAGGAGTGTATTGCCTGCATGTAGGTAAGTGCAGCTGTGTTGTGAAATGCCCATGGAGGTCAGAAGAAGGGTGTTGGATCCCCTGGAAGCGGAGTTATGGCCGGCTGTTAGCGGCCATGTGGGTGCTGATTTTTGAACCTGGGTACTCTGTAAGAACAGCCAGTGCTCTTAACTGCTGGGCCATCTCTTCAGCCCCCTGTTCTTATTTTAAAAGCAAGAAATGTATCAAGTAAAGTATGTCCCTTGCCTCACAGTCTAAGCTGGGACACAGTAAAGATAGGAATAAAGCTGAAGCCTGGGGGCGGGGGTGGTGGTCAGATACCACAAAAGAACACAGAGAGGCTGACGTGGTCCTAGGGGGCTCAGTGACCTTGGACATAGGCTTCATGGAGGACCACTGCACTATTGTGTGCTCAAGGGCAGTGGCTCTCAGACCAAGTTAGGTACCAAAAGCACCTAAGTGCATGTTGAAAGATGCTTGAGCTCCATTCCACAGATTGACTCAGTAGGTTTGCTGTCAGCACTGGGATGCTGCCATTTAACAAGGATCCTGGGCAGCTAGGAGGTGCTGAATACAGTCCCTTTTATCTGGTTTGGGATATACGATGATGCAGGTAAAGTCTGAGGTAATAGGAAATAAAAGCTCTGTAAGCATGCAACGAACACTGTTGGGAGTCTGTTAGCAGGTGCCCCAGGGAGCAGGTGACGCTGCTTTTCTGCCGTCTGTAGGTTCAGAAGTGGGGGCATGATTGCCATAAACCAATGGACTGATCAGGAAGCAGGCTGGGCGAGGTACAGGACAACACCCACCTGATGTTTCCACTTGGAAACTGAATTAAGAGATGAAAGGGGAATTGCTGGTTAGCTGGGGTCGCTATAGTGAAAACTGCGGCTTTTGTGTAGTGGTTGGAACTGAAGTGGGTGAGTGTTGTCAGTGAGTCAGATGTGTGGGAAGCATGCTGGGTGTGGTTAGGGCACATCTATAATCTCAGGACCTGAGAGGCTGAGGCAGGAGTACTGTAAATTCCAGGACAGCCTGGGCTACATAATGAGTTTGAGGATAGCCTTGGTTACACAGAGACTGTCTGCAGAAAACCAAAAATAGGATGGAAGGGAGGAAGGGAAAGAGGGAGGGAGGGAGGGAGGGAGGGGAGGGAGGATAGAACAGGAAGTGAGGAAGCTGAGCAGTAAGGGTTCAGGGTAGGGGAGACACAAGGAGTTAGAGAGGTTTTAAGAAAGAGGTGGAGGAAAGAGCTGTTCCTGCTCTGAAGGGACAGTGTGGAATTAGGATAGACTATGAGGTACCTGTGCTTGAACCCCAGCTCCTCCTTTAACTAGCTGTGTAAGCTTGCCAAGTCTTTACCTCTGTGTGCCTTGGTTTCCTCACCTGTAATGGGTGAAGACTGGCTGGTCAGCAGCTCACAAGCTGTGAAAGGTTAATGAGTTGACATTTGAGAAGAGACTATGGTTAGCCCCTTTTTATTTTCCAGACACTGTCCTAACTCAGGACACCATGGGATTTCTTCCTTCAAAGTGACAGACCACCAAAGTAACCTTTTGAACAGAATCCTCCACGTTCTGACTCCCTCCTGCCCCCCACAAGGTAGTCTCACTTTATAGCCCAGGATGGCCTCTAACTCATTATGTAGCCTAGGCTGGCATCAAAAACTCATGGCAATTTTCCTGCCAGAACCTGTCAAGTGCTGGGATTACAGATGTGAGTCACCATGACATGGCTCTTGTTAAGAGCAGGTCAAAAGACCCTTGTCCCATGACAGTGATCAGTCAGACTGGCTCAGCCCTGTCTCCTGGGACTGGGAGACTTCAGACCTCTTGGAATGTGAACTTTCAATCAATCTCAGAAAGCTGGGAGAATTCTGGAGAGATGGATCAGTGATTGAGTTTTTAATGTTCTTCCAGAGGATAGGAGTTTGGTTCCCAGCATGCACATGGGATGGGTCACAACTGCCTGTACCTGCAGCTCCAGGGGACCCAATGTCCTCTTCTGGCCCCCGCAGGCACCTGCACACATATGTACATACACACACAGACACACACAAACACACACACATTAAATCTCAAAGTAGTTATTCTGGTATCAAAAGCCAAGCCAGCATGTTCCTGGATGTGCTTAGACTGAACACACACACATACATACATACACACACACACACACATACACACACACACACACACACACACGAGGGAAGAATGGCAGGGGAACTAGGAAGCATATAAAATCTCTGGCTAGGCTAGAGCGGAGTTCCCTAAGGAACTCTTTGAGATCATTTAATGTGGGCTCTCCATGGAGCAAACTGTAGGTTAGGTTAGAATCTCACTACAGGTACTAGTTGCCTAACTTGAGACATAATTTAATCTTTTGACCTTAGTTTTCTCATGTGCAAATTGGAATCAAGACAGCATCATGGAACTGCAGAGATGGCTCAGTGGTTAAGAGCACTGGCTGCTCTTGCAGAGGACCGGGTGTGGTTCTCAGCACCCACATGGCAGCTAACAAACTCTAGTTCCAGGGGATCTGACACTCTCTTCTGACCTCCAGAGGCATTTCATGCATGTGGTACACCTACATACATGCAGCCAAAGCATTCATACATATAAAATAAAAATAAATCAATCAAAAAGAATTTTTTTTTTTGGTCTTTTTGAGACAGGGTCTCCTTGTAGCCCCCAGCTGTCCTGGAACTCACTATGTAGACCAGGCTGAGAACTCACAGAGAACTCCGCCTGCCTCTGCCTCCCAAGTGCTGGGATTAAAGTTCTGCGCCACCATGCCCAGCTTCAAAAAGAATTTTTAAAGCCCCTCGGCCCTTTAAAGGGGGTGGAGAGATGGCTCAGTGATTAAGAACACTGGCTGCTCTTGCAGAGGGTCTGGGTTTGGTTCCCAACACCTGCATGGTGGCTAAATACCATCGTAACTCCAGTTGTAGGGATCTGATGTCCTCTTCTGAACTCCATGGGCATTGTATGACACATACATGTAAGCAAAACACTCATACACATAAAATGAAAACAAATTTTAAAAAGTTTTTTAAAAAGATAGTCTCAGGTCTGGAGAGACAGCTCAGCGGTTAAAAAGACTGTTCTTGTAGAAGACCTGGGTTCGAATCCCGGCACCCACATGGCAGTTAACAACTGTCTGTAACTCCAGTTCCAGGGGATCTGACAGCCTCTTCTGTCCTCCATGGGCATTGTACAACACAGGTGCACTTACCTACATGCAGGCAATATACTTATACACATAAAATAAAAATATTAAATTAAAAAAATATATATAAAAGACAGTCTCTTGTCACAGGGCTGTAAGGTGAGTTAAATGTGTTACCCCATTCTAAGTATTCCAAACAAAGCTTGGCACAGGGTCCAGGAACAGAGTGCAATGGGTATTACCAGTGCTAATGGTGATGCTAGCAGCAATATTCTACATTTGCACCCGAGTAAAGTGATGGTTAGAGAACTTGAAGACTTGGGCCAAGGCAATGTAACTTGCAAGTGACAGAGCACTGATCTGATAAATATGGTAAAATCCTACAGCTCCCGGAACTCAGCTTAACACAAAGAAAGTCAATATAATTAAGAAACCAGCTTACCATTCACGGTCACCTGGATTGATCGCCACCAATGCTCCTCGATCCCAAATCCTGTCAAATTTGCCAATATTTGCTCTGCTCAAAAGAAAGACAGGGCAGAGCATTTTATGCCAGAAAAATGAAATCTCAAACAAGCTGCCTGATGTTCCCCAGGGCAATGCTGGGTCGTCACCTGCCATCAAAGGATCAGGATCTCAAACCTGCTTTTCTTTATAGTCTAGAGGGGTGCACTGACCCTGGTGTGGGGCACTGTCCACTTCTAAGGGTTTCAGGAGGCTGAGGCAGCAGCCTCCTTGTTTTGCTGTGACTTGGAAATAAGGAGGAGGACCGGGGGTCAGCATGTGACAGCAGTCCCCAGCCCCTGGCTCAGGGACGAGGGACTATCAGGTGCCATCTTGCCTCCTTTTGTGCTCTGTAACTCATTAAACATTATTATTTTTTAAATTTCATGTGTATGAGTGTATTGTCTGCATGTATGTAAGTGAACCCGTGTTGTGCAATGCCCACAGAAGTCAGAAGGGGGCATCAGATACCCTGGAACTGGAGTTACAGACAGTTCTTACCTGCCATGTGGGTGCTGGGAATTCAACCAAGGTCCTCCATAAGAGCAGCCAGTGCTCTTAACCACTGAGCATCTCTCTAGCTCCTGTGTAACTCATTTTTGTTATAGGCCCAGGTGCCAGGTAGAAGGCAGTCTTCCTCCTCCCACCTTTGCTCCACCTGCCCTGGGTTGTAATAATGATTTTCAAAGTTTGGGAGCCATCCACATGGAGCATACAAACAACTCTAAAGAATAGCTTCAAAACACAGACTCAAATCAATGTTTCTTGATGCAGCAGAAATGGATGGTGTAGTGAACAGAGCCTCACACTGCTGCAGCCCTGCCTAGCAAGGACCACCTTTATTTTTATTACTGTGTGTGTATGATGTGTGTGAGTGCAGGCACATGCATGCTAAAGCAAGTGCGGAGGTCAGAGGGTAACTTTTGGGAGTCAGTTACTTCCTTCTACCATGGGTTTCAGGGATTGAACTCAGAATACCAGGATTGTATGGTAAAGGCCTTTACCCAATGAGGCATCTCACTGGCCCAAGGACCACCTTCTTAAAAAAAAGAGATGAAGGCTGCAGGGAGACCCTGTCTCAAAGAAAGACCAAAAAAAGAGAAAAAGAGATGGGGTCAGGCATGGTTGTGCACATCTTCAACCACAGCTCTCAGGACGCAGAGGCAGTTGGAACTCTGAGTTTCAGGCCAGCCTGGTTTACACATTGAGTTCTAGGTCAGCCTAGCCTGGTCTATACATCGAGTTCTAGGTCAGCCAGGGCCACACAGTAACATCTTGTCTCAAAACAACAACAAAAAAGAAACAAAACAAAGCAAAAAGAGCACATGGATGGGGACAAGGAAATGGTTCAATGGGTAAAGTGTTAACCAGCACGAGGACATGAGTTCAGATCGCCCAGAACCTACATGAAAGCAAGACATGACAGCCGTGGTCTGTAATCTGAATGCTCCTTGGGCAAGAAGGGAAGTGCACACGGGAGACTCCCAGGAATCTCTCTGGCCAGCTAGTCTGGTGTACACAGTGCTCAGACTTCATATCAAACAACGTGGAAAGCAAGGACCGGCATCTAAGGCTGTCCCTCTGACCGCCACTTGTGTGCCGTGGTATTCTCTCTCTCTCTCTCTCTCTCACACACACACACACATAAACAATCACTCACACATACACACACTCCTGCTCAAACAATAGAGCAGATGGAGTATCCAGAGGCTCATACTTTCATACTTGCACACTCGCTCACACCCAGCAAAGCAGATGGAGTATCCAGATGCACATACTTACACTCCCTCACATGCACATTTGCTCTCACACTTGCTTACATCCATACTCCTTCACATACTCACACTCACTCACATACACTCGCTCACAATAGAGCAGATGGAGTAGCTATCCAGTCCTACCTGGGGAGATCATAAATGCTGCAGCAGTACAATGAAATGTTCCCCGAAGAACTCTGTAACAAAACAATGCAAAAATTTGTTTTCCTGCTGAATTATGAAACATTTGAATGGCCAAGGAAATAAAATAAGGCTCCAGCAAAGCCAAGGAGATGGAGAGAATGCATACTAAATACTTGTTCTTTTAAAACCTGGATGGTATGGCTCAGGGGCCAGAGGTGATTGCCACCGAGCCTGATGACCTGAATTCATTCCTGGGCCCTACATGGTGGAAGGAGAGAACCAACTCCCAAAAGTTATCCTGTGGCCTCCACACAAGTGCTAGGGCATGTGTACACACATACACACACACACACACACACACACACACACACACAAACATAATAAAAACAATTTATTTAAAAAAATAAAATAAAGCTGGGCATGGTGGCACACGCCTTTAATCCCAGCACTTGGGAGACAGAGGCAGGCAGATCTCTGTGAGTTCAAAGCCAGCCTGGTCTACATAGTGAGTTCTAGGCCAGCTGGGGCTAAGGGGGACCCTGTCTCAAAAAACACCAAAAAAAAAATAATAAAATAAAATAAAACCTATATGGAGTTCAACAGAAAATCATAGAGAGGGTACCCTAGAAGAATACTGGGCTAGCTATTGTTTATTTCAAGGTCATAAAATCTGGCAAGGCAATGTTTACCTGAGTAGAGTCCTGACATTTCCCTCTACTAAAGATAAACCCACAGTCAATCAATTATCAGGCATGCTGACACAGAACACTCAGATACTTTAAAGTTAATTCAGGGAAAATGCAGTTTTGCCCATTCCCACCCCTCTTCTCTCAATTATTCAGTAAATGAGCACTGATGTACTGAGCAGCTAGCATGGAGGACCTACTTCTGATTCTAGATAACAGATATGAATTGGTCACAGTCTCCAAGTACAGGCTGCCACAGCAGAGCATCACAGGTATGGAACAACCTTATGACACAGAAAGGCCCCTGTGGGGATGGCTGTGCCCCAAGAACAGTGTGAACAGCAAGGACAGGGCAGGAACCGCCTGGGAGCACTGAAGATGGATGGACAAGAGACCTCGTGTAGCACGTCTTGATGCATCTGCTAAGACTGGAGTGGGAGGGGGACTGGGGCACACTCCAGAGAGAGTGATGTGTGGCCAACTTGGGACGTCCAGCCCCAACAATTGAGGTAAAGGGTTGGGTGGACAGTCTGAAAGAGGTGCTAACACGTATTTCCAAGAAGAGGAGGGGACTGTGGAGACTAGCCTGAAAGCATGCTGGGGTCATTTGAAAGAGTGGGGGGCCTTGAGATAGGGAGAGATCAGATTAACCTGGGGTGACATTGTTGCTTGGGGAATTTTTTAATGATTCACAGAGGGTTTGAAATATTCAACTATGGCTGGGAACCACTCCCCTGAGGGATCTGGAAGCAGGCCACCTCTTTAGACAGAAGAAAACACCTAAAATTCTGAGATGATTTAAGATCAGGTTAGGGGAAGCTATAAAACAAAATGTTGGGAGCTGGAGAGATGGCTCAGTGGTTAAGAGTAGTGACTACTCTTGCAGAGGACCTGTGTTTGGTTCCCACCACCCACAACCATTCTTAACTCCAGTTCCAGGCGATCTGATGCCCTCTTCTGACCTCCTTGGGCATTGCCCAACACAGGTGCACTTACATACATGCAGGCAATATACTCATATACATAAAATAAATTAAAAAACCCAAAACAACAAATTATTTAAAAAACAAAAACAAAACACCGGGCATGGTAGTGCATGCCTTTAATCCCAGCACTCGGGCGGCAGAGGCAGGTGAGGCAGATCTCTGTGAGTTAGAGGCCAGCTTGGTCTACATAGTGAGTTCCAGGCCAGCTGGGGCTACAGGGAAACCCTGTCTCAAAAAGACAAAAAAAACAAAAAACAAAAAAACAAAAAAACAACCAAACCAAAGTGCTGCCAAGTCTACTTTGATTTGTTTCAATATTTTGAAGAGTATTGGTGAGGGACCAAATACACAAGCAGACAGTAGCCAGACCATTTCTGATGACAGGACTCTGACCCACAGCCTCTGGAGCAACCCAACAAATAACTGCCAGCTTCCCCCGTCTTTACCATCCTGCTTCCAACTTAGATTGGAGAAAGCCAAACACACTCCCCAAACCAAAGCAGGATGCCAGACCCCACCTTCGCCCTCCAGCATCCACAGTGAGCCTCTACTTTGTGCACAGCTGAGGTTTTCATTTTTTCTCTACTGTGCAGCCTCCTGCTCCTCTCCCTGCCTTTGTGTCTTAGCACAGGGAATGGCTCTCTTTCCCAATGAACAGCCTCAGTGTGCTATTGTCGGATGGCTTCTTCTCATTTTCATGTTATTACCTGAAGCAAGTGAAGAACTATTGTACAATATCTTCATTTACTCATACTACAAAAAAATCACTATTGTGAGGTGTGGAAATAATATTTACCCAAATCAAAACAAACCTTAAACACTTTGGCGCCACTGATTTCTGGGATGGGTTCTTCTGAATAAGAAATATTTTGTTCTGCAAAAAATTCCCGTATCCCAAGTTCACTGATTTCCACTCCAACTACACTGTGGCCACGGTCTGCAAACCTGCACAAAACCATGTCAACACTTAAATTTTCACTTCATGTATACCACTAAATAAAAACCACAATAAACAGACGTTTTCTTTCCCTAGCTGGGGATACAGCTCAGCACATACCAGGTCCTGTGTTCAAACCACAACACAATAGAAAATAACAAAAGAACGAACTCCACGTTTTCCTTAATTTTAAGGGATTCATATTTTCATAAGACATTAATACAAATGTGTTTGGCTACAGGAAATACTTTTCAATTCCCCCAAATCAGTGCTGCCCATTAATTTTCTATGCAGATGGAAATGCCTACCCTGTGCTGTCCATAACAGAGCCATAGACCATGCTGGCCACCGAGCATCTGAGACGTGGTCAGCCTAGAGAGCTAAATTTTAAATTTTATTTGGTTTAAATTTAAGTAACCAAGCCAGATATGGTGTCACAGGCCACTAATTCCAGTACTGGGGAAGGTGAAGACCTTGAGTCTGAGGACACCCTGGATTATAGAGCAAGACTCTATTTCAAAATTTAAAGTTAAATTAATTTAATTTTTAAAAGCCATTCTGTCACACTGGAGTGCTCATCTCTGGATATCTCAACCATTTCTATAACGATCTCATATTTCTACTTATTTATAATAAACATGATTGAAAATATATCTTATTACCATATGCAAATAACTAATATTTTCCTAGTGAGCTCTGCAAGTGTAGATTTCACATTTTAGGGGTCTTAGACTCAAAAGATAACAATCATAGCAGTACAAACACTGAGGAACAGAAATAGTTTATGTCAAATTACAAGAAGAGTCAGCTCTACTATAACGTAGCATATCTCTAGCTATCATGCAAACACATCACAAAGCTGATGGGGGCCAGGTATGGAGTCACATGTCTATAATTCCAGCACTTGGGTGGTAGAGGCAGGAAGGTCAGTTCGAGGCCAGCGCTGAACAGCTCTATAACAAATTTGAGACTAGGTTGGGCTACATGAGACCCTGTCTCAAAAAACCAAAAGGGAGACTGGAGAGTTAGTTCAGTGGTTAAGAGCACTTGCTACTCCTGCAGAGGACCCACATTCTGTTTCCAGCATACATGTTGGATGGTCCACCTGTAACTCCAGCTCCAGGGGATCTGACAACCTCTTCTGGCCTCTGAAGTCACCAGAGGCCACATGTACACACCCCCCATATACATACTTAAAAATAAAATGATCTTTGGCCGGGTGTGGTGGCGCACGCCTTTAGTCCCAGCACTTGGGAGGCAGAGGCAGGCGGATCTCTGAGAGTTCGAGGCCAGCCTGGTCTCCATAGGGAATCCAGGCCAGCTAGGGCTATAGGGAGACCCTGTCCAAAAAGACCAAAGAAAAATAAATAAATAAAATGCTCTTAAAAAAAACAACAAAAACACCAAAAAGTAGGGATGAGAGGAGTGTGAAGAGCTTACTGCATGATCATGAGGAACTGAGTTCAGATCCCCAGCACCCACATAAAAAGCCAGGTATGGTAATGCCTGCCTATGATCCCAGTGCTGCAGGCAGAGACAAAAGGCTATCAGGGGCTCACTGGCCAGCCTAGCCAGTCAGTGAACTCTAGGTTTAGCAAGAGACCCTATCTTAAAAAATAAGGTGGAGAACAATAGAGGAAGACTCTTCTCATGGACCTATAGACTCCACATGTGTGCATGCACATGCGTGTGCACACACACACGCACATACACACACACACACACAACCCAAAGTTTGCCCATGCCACAAACCTAATAACCAGATAACATTGGTTTTACACATGTCAAACAGTTAAGTATTTTTAAAATATTTATTATTATTTTTAAAATTTTATTATTGTTATTATTTTTTTTTGGTCTTTTTGAGACAGGGTCTCCCTATAGCCCCAGCTGTCCTGGAACTCACTATGTAGACCAGGCTGGCCTTGAACTCCCAAAGATCTGCCTGCCTCTGCCTCCTGAGTGCTGGGATTAAAGGTGTGCACTACCACACCCAATTTTATTATTTTTATTTTATGTGTATCTGTATTGTGTGCATGTAGATAAGTGCACCCATGTCATGCAATGCCTGTGGAGGTCAGAAGAAGCTGTTGGATCCCCTGGGACTAGTGTTATGGACAGTTGTTAGCTGCCATGTGGGTGCTGGGATTCAAACCCGGGTCTTCTGCAAGAACAACCAGTGTTCTTAACTGCTGAGCCATCTTTACAGCCCCTATTTATTATTTTTTTACGTGTATGAGTGCACTGCCTGCATGTACATAAGTGCACCCATGTTGTGCAATGCTCAAGGGGGTCAGAAGAGGGTGTCAGGTTCCCCTGGAACTGGAGTTACGGATAGTTGTTAGCTGCCACGTGGGTGCTGGGACATTTCTTAAAAGAAGACATGCAAATAGCCAGCAGGTATAAGAAAGGGTACGCAGCACCAGGCATCACTGAGGAAATGTGTATGAGTATCTTGGTGGGTATTATCACTTCACACTTATAAGAATGGGATTATTAAAAAAATACAGAATAACAAATGTTAAGAAGGATGTGGAGATAAAAGGAGCCCTGCACATTGTGGGAATATAATACTAACATAGATGGGCTGAGGATGTGGTAGACTGCCTGCCTAGTGGGTACAAAGCCCTGAGTTTGATCCCAGAACCCCATGAACTGGGTGTTGTGTTAGATGCCTATAATCCCAGCACTGGGGAAGTAGAGGCAGGAGTATCAAAAGTTCTTGGCCATATGAGTTTGAGGCCAGCCTGAGATACGTGAGACCCTATCTCAAAAATGAATGAGAGCCGGGCATGGTGGCGCACGCCTTTAGTCCCAGCACTTGGGAGGCGGAGGCAGGTGGATCCCTGTGAGTTCAAGGCCAACCTGGTTTACATAGTGAGTTCCAGGCCAGCAGGGGCTACAGGTAGACCCAGTCTCAAAAAAGAAAAGAAAATGAATGAGTGAATAAACAAACAAGCACAATTTGTACAGCCATTGCAGAAAATGGTATAGAGGTCCTTCCAACTAAAATTGGCACTGCCATTGGTTCAGCAGCTCTGCTTCTGGGTCTGCAGCTAAAGGGTGTGAAAGCAATACATTGAAAACAATCCGAGCTGTGGTCGTTAATCCCAGCACTCGGGAGGCAGAGGCAGGCGGATCTCTGTGAGTTCATAGTTAAGTATTAAAGAAATAGTGTAACATAGCACTGGCCCTGGATTAGGCCAGAAGTTAACTTGTAAAGTGTGGGCTAGGAAGTCTGCAGTTTGAGTTATTGTGACTTGATGGAAGGGGGAAAACTGAATGGAAAGGGAGTGTGGAGGGGAGAGGCTGGGCCTGGGTAACGGAGGTGGGTGATGTCTGAGGTGTGTGCATGTGTGTGGTCTGTTCCTAAGTAGCTTAATTCATCCTGGCAGAGTCTGGCTTTTACTGAATATTTTTTTCAGAAGAAATCACTGGTAAATGAATGTGAAATTCACATGATCAAGCTGTTCTCTAATATATTGACTGAGTTAGAATGGAATTCACATCTTCAAAACAAGAACAAGATGGACTGTACCTATCCGCTACACAAGAGTGATTGTTCTCAGCGGGGGCAGAGCATGAACTATTTATAGTTCTAAAATGAAATGATTTAATAACTTATATTTCATCTTCTCTGGAAATTTGGACACCAGCATGTAGAGAATATTTTTAAAATTTATTTTGAGGTTACAAAATAGAAGCAAAATTATCCAAACTGACTGGACATGTTTTTATGTTCCACTCAACACATGAAGCGTAGCCTGCAATACAGGGAATAAAAATAAAACAAAGTTGGGTGTGGTGGCACCTTTAATCCCACCACTTGGGAGGCAGAGGAGGCAGGTCTCTGAGTTGGAGACCAGCTTGGTTTACAGAGTGAGTTCTAGGTCAGCAGGAGATACATAATGAGACTCTGTCTCAAAACAAAACAAAATCCCAAAGGAAAACAACAACTCCCCCAAAAGAAACATAAACAAGAAAATGAAACCCTAAAACAACTTGAATATTTCATTCAGTGCTTTTTGGTCTTCATTTCTGGTGAGTTTATCTACTCATATCCAGTGTCTGTATAGACTACATACAGAGGTTAGTTATGTAAGTGAAAAATTCTCTAATATCCTAACTTAGATGCAATTACAGTAGCTCAGTTCTGCCATCTCAATTCTTACTATTTTGAGGTTCAAGAGAATGAACCCCAGGCCTGTGCATGCTAGGCAAGTTCTCTCCCACTGAGCTGCATCCCCAACTCCTTGATGTTTTTGTTACAAACATCCTTAAGACCCCCCAAATATTCAACAATCACCCATAGGTGGCTAAGCTGTTTCATTGATGTTGCCTAAAATCTCTGCTAGAGCAACACAGTTCCCAGCGATGATAGCATCTCCCAGACCATCTATTTAAAGAGTTGATTTGTCTCTCACAGGTAGTTCCCAAAGTCATTCTCCTGGTTTGGTGTGTTGGTTAAAACATAGGTCTAGTAATAAATATCATTCTCAATGTCATGGCCACACATGAATCTCAGACTGTAACAGACTTTTAACCTATGCTCTTAGCAGCAAGATGAGGCTGTGGGCTGCAAAACCTGTACCCTTTCTCCTGGAGAATCAACTCCAGATGCAGGCATGCTTTGTGGTAGGTCACCGGTATTTACATGGGGAACAGAGCATTTTAAAGTTAGTATATTTTACATTTGCTAACCTTTTCCATACAACTTTTATTCTTTCCTGTTTAATGATTCAACTTCTCAACATTAAAGCTTATGTCTTGTGGGTGTTTGTGACTGTGTATTATCATTATAGTAATGTTTTGTGTAAAAAATGATTTCTTTGTTTGACTTAAGGTAACCTGTAGTAACAGTGAACTCTTTTTATAGGGAATTTTTCACAAGGATGACTCTCATCACTACTGGTTTTATAACAGTGATTCATGATTACAAAAACGTGTTTATTCATGGGGATGGGGAGGAGAATTGAGCTGAACTCTGGGCTATAAACACTGCCCTGCCTAAAGCTTGTAATATACTTCGAATTTTCTGTTGACTTCCATTTCAAATATCCAATTATTTATATTTCTAAAGCACCTGTAATAATTAAATCATGGACAAAGATCCAGAAGACACAAAGGGAAGACTGTTTTTTCCCCCACGGATTTCAAACTAGTTTATTTCCCAAATGCTGAGGTTACAGGTGTGCACCACCACCCCTGGCTTAGGCAACACTAGGGATTGAACCCAGGGCTTTGTGCATCCTAGGCATTTACTCTACCAACTGAGCTAAGTCTTCAGGTCCCCAAAGTAGGTTTTTTTCCCCTTTGAAACAAAATATAGAAAAACAACACCATACCCAATTTAGTTTCCACTCTTACTGTCTGAAAATACTATCTTTAATTTTGTAACCATCCAAGAGTCCACTAAAAATAAAGAATCCCTTGCATTTCCTGAGAATTGGATTTTTTTAACCTATAGCCTGTTAAGTATCCACCCCTAAGAATTAATCGTCAAAGACTAGTTTATTAATGTACACATGCACATACCATTTCATCTCAACAGCTTTTCCACAGAGAGGAAAAAACACCCTCAGTCCACTCTCGCCTTCAAGAAAGGTATCCAAATACTTCTTTAATAGCCTGGGAAGAAAAAAGTTGCAGTGCTTGTTTTAATTAGCCCAATCCACAGAAGGGAGTGTAATTTATGACACTAAGAACTTTTCATGCATTATCTCAACACTCCCAACAATGTAATGAGTAGGTAACATTAATTATTATAACCCCCAATTTATGTATAAACAGAACAGCTAAGCAACTTGCTTTGTTTCACTTAGTACTTTGCTACTTAGTACTAAATCAGACTGACAACTTTTTTCATGACTGGGAATTAAAGACTGTTTATTTTTCCTTAACTGATATGTTTGGAAAATTCTGCACTAATAACCACACTTAACCTCTTTTGTTATTGTTATGAAAGTGATGTTGAGAGAGGAAACTCTGGATCTATAAATGTTTCAACATTTACTTCATGGAATATCCTCTAAGTAAGTTTAACTCTTTTTTTTTCTTTAATTTTACTTTCAATCAATCATCTATCTATCTTTCTATCTCTCTATCATCTATCTATCATCTATATCTATCTATCTATCATCTATTTATCATTTATCTATCAACCATCTCTCATCTATCTATAATCTATCATCTATCTATCATCTATCGATCAACCATCTATCATCTATATCTATCTATCTATCATCTATCTATTTATCATTTATCTGTCAACCATCTCTCATCTATCTATAATCTATCATCTATCTATTTATCATCTATTGATCAACCATCTATCATCTATATCTATCTATCTATCTATCATCTATCTATCATTTATCTATCAACCATCTCTCATCTATCTATAATCTATCATCTATCTATTTATCATCTATTGATCAACCATCTATCATCTATATCTATCTATCTGTCTATCATCTACCATCTATCTATCTATCATTTATCTATCTATGTGTGCATGCTCATGCCATGGCACATACGTGGAAATCAGAGGATAACCTGTAGGAATTAGTTCTCTGCTTCTACCATATGGGTCTGAGGGATCACACTCAGGTCATCAGGCTTGGTAGCAAGTGCCTTTCTTTACCCACTGAGCCATCTTGCTCAGATGTAAGTATAAGCATTGCTTCAGCATCTACTGCATGTATGAACACATATGACCAGTAAGTAGAAGCCATAGGTGTTTCTAAAAGGAAATCTATTTCACAAATCTAAGATGTCATTATTTGTAAGTCATATCAACACTAAGATGAAAACCTCACTGTCGTAAAACTCTGGTGTGCTACAGATACAGACTGACTTCAGAGATGCTACATATGAAAAGACTAAATGTGCATCTGAAAATCAACCTCAATGTATTTGTATATTTTTATTTTAAAATCAATTTTTTAAAACTAGGTTCTCATGGAGCCAAACACTGGTATCAAACTCACTATGTAGCAATGATAACTTTACACTTCTGACCCTCCTACCTCCACCTCCTAAATGCTGGGATTATAAGCATGTGCCACTGTTCTAGTTTGCCTTCAACTGCTGTAACAAAACATTCTGGCCAATCCTAACTTCGTGGTGGGGGATTATTTGGCTTACATCTCTCAGGTCACAGTTCATCACTGAGGAAGTCCAAGGTAGGAACTCAGGGCAGGAACCTGGAGGCAGGGGCTGAAGCACAGGCCATGGAAGAATGCTGCTTACTGGCTTGCTTTCCTGGGCCTGTGCTCAACCTGCTTTCTTATACAATACAGGAACACCTGCCCAGAGGTGGCACCACCCACAGTGGGCTCGCCCTCATATATCACTCATCAAGAAAATGCCCTACAGACATGGCCACAGCCCAGTCTGATGGAGGCAATTCCCCAATTGAGGCTCCCTCTACCCAGGTGTGTGAAGTTGACAACTAAAGCTCTCCAGCACAGCCTCCCTGCCTGGTTTAGTTCGGTGCAGGGATCAAACCTAGGGCTTCCTGTATGCTAGGCAAGCTCTCTACCAATTGAGCTACATCCCCACCAAGGTCAGCTTCTGATAAAGCATTTCTCTGTCAGAGAGCAAACATGTCTTACTGATGTCCTTGTTCCTGATGGAATGAGATGTGACGTCTCACCCACTTGTCTTGCCATTCTTCCAGGGTCAGCACTCGGTTTTTCTGCACCTCAGCATCTGGGTACTCTTTAACAGCAACTGAACTTCTTGTATCAGCCATAGTTTGGGGGTCACCTTAGTCTCGTAGGCTGATGTCTCCTGTGCCTAAATGGAAAATATCTGTAATGTTATCATTTAAAAACATTGCAATTGTTCTGATGAACTACATGAAAACCTATTGCCCTTGGTAATATAGCTTTAAAAAAATTATTTATTTATTATTTTTATTTTAGGTATATGAGTGTATTGCCTGCATGTGTGTAAGTACACCTGTGTCATGCAGTGCCCATGGAGGTCAGAAGAGGGTGTCAGATCCCCTGGAACTGGAGTTATGGACCATTGTTAGCTGCCATGTAGGCACTGGGATTGAACCTGGGTCCTCTGCAAGAGCAGTTAGTGCTCTTTTTTAAAAAAATATTTTATTTATTATTTTTATTTTATGTGTATAAGTATGAGTGTATTGCCTGCATGTGTGTTAGTGCACCCATGTTGCGCAATGCCTGCAGAGGACAGAAGAGGCCGTCAGATCCCCTGTAACTGGAGTGATGGACAGTTGTTAGCTGTCATGTGGGTGCTGGGATTCGAACCTGGTCTTCTGCAAGAACAACCAGTGTTCTTAACTGCTGAGCCATCTCTCCAGCCCCACAATATGGATTTTTAAAAAATTTATTATTTTATATGTATGAGAGTATTGCCTGCATGTGTGTAAGTGGCACCTGTGTCATGCAATGCCCTCGGAGGTCAGAAAAAGCTGTCAGATACTCTGGAACTGGAGTTACAGATAGTTGTTAGCCACCACCTGGGTGCTGGGAATCCTTTGCAAGAGCAGCAGATGCTCTTAATCACTGAGCCATCTCTCCAGCCTTGGCAATTTGGCTTTAAAAAATATCTCAGTATGCAAGCCAGGAAGCACATGCCTGTAATTTCAGCACTCAGGAAACAGAGAGGCAAGGGGAATGCCACAAAATTGAATCCAGCCTGGTCTTTATAGTGGGTTCCAGGCCAGCCAAGGCTATACAGTGAGACCCTGCTTCAAAAACAAACATTTTCAATATCCAATAAACAATACACAAAAACTACATTTCAGTGAATCTAGTAGTAAGATATAAATCATTATTTGATGTTAGGAAAGATCTTTAAAGAAACTGAACTATAGGGGCTGGAGAGATGGCTCAGCAGTTAAGAACACTGGCTATTCTTCCAGAGGACCTGGGTTTGGTTCCTAGCACTCACTTGGTGGCTAACAACCATCTGTAACTCCAGTTCCAGGGGATCCGACACCTTCTTCTGACCTCTGCAGGCATTATATGCACATGGTGCACTTACATACATGCAGGCAAAACACTCATAGGAATAAAACTAAAGTTAAAAACCAACCAACAAACCAACCAACCAACAAAAAGAAACTGAATGATAGCTTGAGTAAATGAACTTGACCTAACTTCAAAAGGGGAAAAAAAACACAAAAATCAAGCTCTCTAGAGTTTATGACTTTCATAAGCTTAAAGGTAGGAAAAGAAAGAAGTTTAAGAATGTGGACTAGGGCTTATCACCTATAAACACTAAGGTGTCATTACATAAGCAGAAATGCAAAATTCAAAACATTCTTTGATCTAAAATTGTCGAGGTCAACATGAAGCTCAAGACATCACCAATTCTGGAGCTTTTCGATGTCGATTTTTCAGATTAGGGATATTCAACTAGAAAGAAAAAAAAAACCCCACAAAAGTCAATATAAACATCTCCAAATCTCCCAAATCAGAAATACTTCTGACTCCAGGTATTTTGAAAGTGTTCAGCCTGTACTTTTATTTTCTTTGGGTTGGTCACTTTCCATAGATGGATCTTTCAATTCCTGATTGAAGAATTAAGTCCTTGGGGCCCCTGTTCTTCACCCACAAAAGCAAAGATAGAAACAGGAGAAGATCCCAGCAGTCAGCTTACCCTCTGTATTAGTCACTTTTCTGTTGCTGTGATAGGAACATTGACCCAAGCAATTTATAGAATGAAGAGTTTATTTGAGCTTATGGTTACAAATACTTGGATCCTATGGGGGACATTTTCATTCAAACCATCACATTCCACCCCCTGGTCCCCACAGGTTCATGATGATATAAAATGCAAAATGCATTTAGTCTAAAAGTCCCCACAGTCATTATCAGTCTCAATACTATTCAAAAGTCAACAGTCCAAAGTCCATTCTGAGACTCAGGTAAATATCTTAACTATAAGCCTCTATAAAAAGACAAATTACATGCTCCCAACATACAGTGGAACTGAATATACATTACCATTCCAAAAGGGAGGAATGTAGGCATAGTAAGGAAATACTGGACCAAAGCAAGACCAAAAACCAGCAGGACAAACACCAAATCCCATAGCTCCACATCCAACTTCTGGGATTTACTTCCAAAGAGCTTAGATGGCTCGGCTTCTCTAGCTTTGCTGCATGCAATGCACATCTCTCTCTTATGCTGGTACCACTCTCTGTGTACAGGTCTTCTTGGCAGATGTCTCACAGCTCTGGCATCACGAACTTCTTGGGGTCTCCACTGCCAACCAGGCTTCACCTTCACAGCTTCACACATTAGCTTTGCTGCATGCAATGCACATCTCTCTCTTATGCTGGTACCACTCCCTGTACGCAGGTCTTCTTGGCAGATGCCTCACAGCTCTGGCATCACGAACTTCTTGAGGACTCCACTGCCAACCAGGCTTCACCTTCACAGCTTCATGCAATGGCCTGTCAGGGCCTTCTCTAGGCAGGGGAACCCCTGCTGCATGCTGCCTGGCCTCAGCAGCTCTCTGAAACCATGGAAGAAGAACTGGTGACCCCTTCACTCTTACATCTTTCATGCCTCTAAAGCCAGCACCAGGTGAATGACACTGCCAATTTTGATGTTTGGGATGGACTCAAGCCTGCTTTATACATTTTAGAAGCTTTGCTCTTCAGTGGTCCCTGCAGCATTTTCCTTTCTTGAGTTGGAGGCTTAACTCGGTGTGATCTTGCCCTGGAGGCATTCTCTCCACTGTTTAAATCAGAATCTCTAGGCCCCTCCTTAATCACTTTAATTGCCAGGGCTCTAATACTTATCTTCCTAGTGCTCTTTTTTAATCCAAACTGAATTTCTTTCTGCCCCATTTTCTCTCTTTCACTGTAGATTTGCTTAATATTCACCATTAATAGCCACACTACCATTTCTACATTAGGCTGTCTCGAAATTTCTTCCTCCAGAGAAATTAGTCCATTACTTTTCAACTTAGCCTCAGGCAAGTTTTTAGGTAGAGGGCAGACTCCAGCCAGACTTTACCAAAATATCCAGAGAGCTGCTTAAGTCCTTATTTCCCTCTGGAACTACATTGTTCTCAGCACTGGTTTCTTCCAGGTGTTTACTGGAATGGCCTGTTAAGCTCTGCTTACAGTAAGTAACCTCTTTTCTAGCCCAAACTTCCAAAGTCTTCCACATTTCTTCAATAACCCCACATGGTCAGGTTCTTCACAGTCAATACCCCACTCCTGGTACCAATTACGGTATTAGTCACTTTTCTGTTGCTGTGATAGACACTGTGATAGAAACAATTTACAGTGGGAAGAGTTTATTTGAGCTTATGGTTCCAAATACTTGGATCCTACAGGGGACATTTTCATTCAAACCATCACAGCCCTGAACAGTGAATCCATGAATTTCCAGTGCGGTACTCCTTTCTTCAAGGCTGTGGGCTGGACCTTGCCATTCAGAGACTGTTTTACCAATAGCCCCCAGCCCCAACACAAGTCTAAGGATGTGACAAGGGGCAGACCTGGTTGTAAGAAGCTGACAATGAGACCCGGAAGTCATTGCTTCATGAACACTGGCAAGCACACTGCCACTGAGTTACATTCCCCCCCCCCCCCTAAGGAACTGAAGGGGCAGAAATATTCAGGTAAGGGAAATTGCAGATTCATTTGAATGATTAAGGAGATGCCTGTCTTTCCAAGATTCAGGTCAGTATAATACACAATTCGAAACTTCCTTTTAAATCACTAGTGATCAACATGATTATTGGTCATTCAAACTTAATGATTTTATCTACAAAACAGCAACAGCAAAATGGCACAAAAGTGCAATTTAAGGGAAGGGCCTCCTTTTGTTGCATGATTCAGCCTTAGGTCCTTAGGATTAAAGAAGACACACCTCCATCAATTCTGGGAACATAAATTCACGTCTCAGCAAGTATTAACAAAAGGCTTTTGATGATGTCAGAGGGTGACGATCCATATCCCACCCTCCCCAGTTCTCAGAGGACAATGGGAAGTTTCTGGTTATCATGGACAAAGAAAAGCAAGACAGTTGCACTTTTCCCATCTCTTATTTTCTGTAAGAAACTTTGGAAGCCAAAGTTCCCTCATAAAGAATTGCCCTACTGAAAATAAAAGGGAAGTTTAATCTTTAACCCCAGTGCAGCCTGGAATCACCCAGTGGAGAGTTCAGATTGTTACAGTATCACAAATATAATCACCTACCTAGTTGTTCTAATAGCATCGCAATGTGAGACAAGGTCTCCCTGTAGCCCCAGCTGGCCTGGAACTCATTATGTAGCCCAGGCTAGGCCCAATTTCAGGGTTCTGCTTGCCTCTTCGGTGCTGCCTCTGCCTCCTGAGTGCTGGGATTAAAGGCTTGCACCACCAAGCCTGGCAAAAGGTCTTTCTAAACACAATAAGGCGTAAAGTACAAGAGAAGGCAAATTTCACAGTAAGGCCTACTCATAAATGTTCACTGCAAATGCGCTCATTGGTTCAAGTTCTCTGCACCTTAAAAAACACCCGATTCTGCTTTAGGGCTTTTTTGGTTTGTTTTATTTTTCGACACAAGGTCTCATTATTTTAAGGCCTGGAATTCACTATATAGCCCAGGCTGACCTCCAACTCGCCACGATCCTCCTGCCTCAGATTCCTCATGTTGGGATTACAGGCCTGCGCCACAACGCCCGGCTTCTGCTTTAGTTTTAAATTTCGTTAAATTGAAGCGAAATTTCCCTGATTTACACAAATCCTGAGCACGGCTCAGTAATTGTTTCATACTTGAACATGCAACCTGTAACACACCATAGAGCGAGCCTGAGAATATTCACAATGCCCCAGCCACCCCCTCCATCTCTCCACAGAGCCCCCCACTCACTGTCGCAGTCTTGTAACCACCAGCCACACTCGTCAACGCTTTGGGGTCACTTAATGCATTCCGAACATTCGCAGCCTGACCTTGCTATTCCCAGGTTTCTCTCCTGCTCCTAGAGCCCGATTTCGGGCTGCGGATAGCTGGGTCATCCTTGTTTTTAGGGCACCCCACTCGGAAAAACCGCTCTTAAAGGCTCACAGAGTCCCAGTACTTCCTCACCTGCTAGTCCGTGACACCCAGGATCTCACCTCGCCGCCGCACGCTGCCGGTCTCTGCCACTAGGACTCTCAGGACAGCCGGGACGCGTAAGCCCCGCCCCCAGAAAGAGGGCGCTTCTGGGTCACACAGGCCCGGCTCAGACTTGCAAACCCCGCGCAGGACGTGCAGGCCCCGCCCCCATGGCGAAGCCCCGCCCAGGACACGCAGGCCCCGCCCCGAGAGAGGCGGCTCTGTCCGGGTTATGCAGGCCCCTCCCCGGGCTCAGAAACCCCGCCCCGGCCGCACAGGCCCCGCCCCTCCCAGGCGCCGAGTTTGCGCAGCGGCGGAAACGGCCGGGGCGGGGCGAGCGCCGGACCCTCCTGCTCGCAGGGCCGGCGGGCTCCTCCCACTCCGGGTCACGCCGAGATAGGGGCGGAAGCGGTGGCGGCCGAGCGGAGCTCGCTGCGGCTCGCGGAGCGGATCTTGTGCAGCCCCGGGCAGCGTGCGCCGACTGGCCGGCGCTCCCAGGTGTGGACTCGGGACCCTGCGGGCGCTCGTGGGGCCGGCGGCGGGTTCCGGGTGACAGAGCCGCAGAAAGCGGCGGGCTGCGGGCTAGCCGCGCTTCTCCGCCGGTCAGCGCCGGTCGCCGGGAGGGAGGCGCTCGGGTTGCCAGGGGCTCCCGGCCGCCCCATGTCTGGAAAGGCGTGGCGCGGGGGATCCCGTGCGGGCCGGGGGTTCCCGGGCTGGGCTGCCGGGGCGCGGGCTTCCCCACGCCGCGCGTCTCCGAGGCCCTGCGGGCAGGTCAGTGCACCCCTGGGGAGCCGCGGTGAGTCTGGGGCGGTGGCTTCTCCGCCTGGGCGGCTGGCAGCGCCGGGCCCGGGTGGAGGGTGCCCTGCGCTGTCACCGGCCCGGGGGGTGGGAGCCCCGCAGCCCGGGAGGAGGGGGCCGGGCTGGACTCCCCCCACGGCCTCGGGGACCCGGCAATTTAGTAGGAGTGACCGCAGGTAAGCTCCCCACAGCGGCCTCGGGGAACCCCGTAGTCTTAACAGGAGCGACCCCAGGCTGAGCTCCGCATCTGGTGCCTCGGGGAACTCCACAGCAGTCCAATAGGAGGGACCCCAGGCTGAGCTCCCCACAGGGGCCTCCGGGAACCCCGTAGTCTTAACAGGACGGACTCCGGGCTAAGCTCCGCATCTGGTGCCTTGGGGAACCCCACTGCAGTCCAATAGGAACCCCAGGCTGAGTTCTCTATCTGGGGCCTCGGGAAACCCCGCAGCTTGAGGAAGGACCCTAGGCCGGGCTCCCCATCTGGGGCCTTGGGGGACCCCGGGCGAAGCTCCCCACCTGGCCTTTGGGGGACCCCGGGCTAAACTCCCTACCGGGGCCCCGGGAACTCCGACCGCCCCGTCCCGCCTTAAGAGGGGGCACTCCAGGCCGGGCTCCGCACTCAGGGTCACAGCTTTTGGGAATCCCGCAGCCCTGAAGGCAGGACCTCGGCCTCTGCCTCCCATCCCAAGCGGCGGGGCTCCGGCCTGGCCCGCAGGTGTTGCGGATGGTCCCACGCGGAGCCTGATGAGAGCCAGGTTGCTGCGGTAGGTAACTCCCCTGGGGTTGCACCCCTCGGGGTCCTGGGTGGCTGGTAGCTGCAGCCTGACAGCTGACACGTGAGCGAGGAAGGCAGAGGCAAGCAAGCCCAGCTGCAGAAAGTGGCGTTCAGTGATCTGGAACCCAGCCTTAGAGACCCAGTGTGCTTGAAACCCATGGACCATGCCCGGTATGGGAAATCCTTTCAACACAGACACAACTCAAGGTTTTGACTTTTTTCTTTCTTGAACTTGCAACAGCTCTGTCTCGGCTTCCTGGGATTACAGACAGGAGCTGCTGCACCTGACTTTGATTCTTTTAAAAATATATTGTACCACGAATAATTGTCCAGACAAGGAAAATAGTCAAGACACCCAGGCAATTGGGAATTCAGAATTGAACTATTGGGCTTCATATTGAATGTTAAATAATTCAGTATTGAATTGCTGCACTGGATCCGTAGTTCTGAAAATCACATTAGCATGAGGTATTGTAAACAGCTAGGTTTGCCTTAGTTTAAGTGACCCAAAGGGAACTTTCAGTTTTCATTGTCACTGAAGAAGTTTCTGGTAGTTTGCCCTATGTTTACAAATGATGCTCGCCAAGCTGTAGATTTTTACATTATCTTGGAGTCTTTTGGATTCGTGTTTTTATGAATCCTGTGTGTGTTTAAACTCAAGTTGGATTTGAAAACACCTGGGTGTTATTTAAAGAGAAATCTAAATATTGATACATTCACTTTATTTCCTAAAACCCACTTTTAAAAAGTAGGTTGAGAGAAAGCTAAAGGCACCGCTTTAAAATGAGGAAGAAATAGGTTTACAAAATAACTGAACACAAACCCGGTGTGGTGGTGCATGTCTTCAATCCCCTCAGGAGGCTGAGCTAGGCTGAGCTGAGTTCAGGTCAACCAGGAATACGTAATGAGACACTGTCTCTAAAACAACTTTCCCTGAAAAAATTCTGAACACAAAGCAAATTCTTTAATTGGGTGTCTTTACTGAAGAACCAGGTGGGAGGGTGTTGTGGCTCTCACCTGGAGGTTGACAGCATTGCGAACAGTTGGAGGGCAGCCTCGCCTGCAGTGGGAGACGCCTGCTAACAAACAACACAGGTGAGAAAGCAGTTACACTAGTTTGTTTTAATGGTACTTTAGTATTTCAAAGATTATATTCTAAAATACAATAATTTGAGACCTTGCAACTTGTTATTTTTCTCTTCATTGTAAGACCCAAGGACTCAGCAACAGCGATGATACAGACTAAGTGCTAAAACAATTGGAAGCACGTTGTGTAATTAAAAGTGACTGTATTACCTTTAAATCTTCGGGTTTAAAAGCTTTTATAGCCAATGTTTTCTTTAACCACTTCTTGAGTCTTCTTTATTGCATTAAGTGTGCTTTTTCCTGTGTAGATTTAAAATTTATGTGTTTGAGTGTTTTGCCTGCATGTGTGTTTAGTGTACCTGTGTCATGTAATACCTGTACAAGGCAGAAGAGGGTGTCAGATTCCCCTGAACTGGAGTTATGGAAGGTTGCTAGCTGTGGTGTGGGTGCTGGGAACCGAACCCAGGTCCTCTGCAAGAACAGCCAGTGCCCTTAACCACTGAGCCATCTCCCAAGCCCCTCCTGTGTCGATGTAAATATTCATTGAAATTTCTGGAAACCATGCTTGCTTTTGGGAACATGTATTTCTGGGTTATTTTAAATGTTGCATGAACCAAGTCTGATTTCATGTTCATAAACTTCACATTGAACTTCAAATGTTTTTGCTAAAATACTTAACGTATTAGGCTTCACAAATATGTGTATTTACATATTTTGTGGCTTATAAATTGGGATACAAGTGTTACACATAGAGAAACTTGCATATTTTTATGTATGTAAAAATTGATACTTGTATGAATGGTTAATTTGGACCACCTTTTGAAGGTAGAAATGAGGTGCTAGGGATGGATAGTTCAGTGGTAGACTGCTTACTTAGTATTTGTAGGGCTCTGGGTTTGATCCCCAATATAACATAAAATTTATGTGCAAATGGGATCCAGGAAGGCTTTATTGACTGTAACAATAATTGCAGGCAGACAGTATTTTTTAAACATTATCTGTATTTTATCTAGCAGTATAATGGATACCACTGAACACGTGGCTGTGGATTTTTGGTGCAGGGCCTTGTGCATGCTAGGCTTGTCCTTATCACTGAGCTAAACCTCCAGCTCCCTATGTCTGTAATGTGCCACCAGCAGGATGGCTTAGTAGGTGAAGGCACTTGCTAGCTTGATGACTTGAGCTTGATCCCTGGAATCCACATAGTAGAAGGAGAGAACTGACTCCTGCAGCTAGTCCTGACCTCCACACATGTACATCTTGGAATATAGGGTTTCTGGATTTGCAGCTGGCATCCTGGCTTTAAGAATGCAAAGTGCAGCTAAAGGAAACCATGCATAGTATTGATGTCAAGATTTCAGTCATTGTGGAGGGTAGGGTTTTTCCATGTGGAGTTAATAATTCAGGAGACTTGGTCTTGTGGGCATTAATATATCTCAACAGTGGCAAGCAAGGCCCTCAGCCTTTTTCCCAGGTGAAGGTGGTGTGACTTTGAAGGTGATTGAACTTGTAGAACTGCTGTCTGCCTCCACACGCCTTACATGCAGGTGCCCTGCTTGCTTCCTTTCTTTCCCTTTGCTCCTGTGTTGAACACATTAGAAAACATGAATAAATTCAGATCCACGATACCCTTTACCCATTTTTCTTACTGAAAACATTCCAATAGCTCAATCTTTCATGGTTTCTCTGTAATGTATCTTGTAGATACTCGTTCTTTGCTTGGTTTTGAGACTCTCGTGTAGTCCACGCTGGCCTTGAACTCACTGTGCAGCTGAAGATGGACTTGCATTCCTGATCCTCAGGCCTCTGTCTCTATGCCTGCTGGAATTACAAGCATGAGCCTCGACACCCAGCTAGACGTTTGTTCTTAATGTTTGCTTAACCGTGCTATTAGTCTAGTAGATATGAGTGCTTCCATCTAATCCAGATTCCTGTAGTCCATATAGCAATATTCTGTAGAGGGAGCCTGGTATTTGTTGACTTTTACTAAGGAGCAGTGAGTTCTTAAAGTACACTAAGCCATTGAGATTTAGGAACCACTGACACCCGGTAAGGTGGAGAGCTCCATAGCAAACTAGGTGTTTTTCCTTACTGAATTTTACAATGGTATTTACTTATTGATCATTTGTATGGTATGTGTCTCATTTTTAAATTCATATTATTAATAGTGATGACTTATGCCAATACTGGTGTTCAATTATATTAATGGGTAATACTGAGTATTTATGCCAGAGCTTTAAATAGGCCACCTTATTTAACCTTTATGCCATTGTAATGGTACACCCTGATTATGCCCAATTGTTGTATTTTTATTTATTGCATGTGTCTGTGCAGTAACTTATTATGGAGCAGAGGATGACCTTGATCCTCCTGCCTCTACCTCCCCAGTGCTATGATTATGGGTGTGTGCCACCAAGCCTGGCTTATACTTGTTTTATATATGACACTACAGGCTTCAGGAGGCTAAGTAACTTGGAGTGGTGACAGGCAGTTCACCTGCTAAATGACATCATGACTTGAACATATCAGATGCTAATATTTAATAGTTTGAGCTCAGTATCTCTCTCTTCTCTCTCAGATTTTCTAACACAATGGCAACATCCCGAGGGAGGTCAAAGAAGAGAGCTGCCACGTTTGATCTTTCTCCGGATAGCCTGCCTTTGAGGAGCTCCGGGAGGCAGGTACTCCTCTGTTAATTGAAAAAAACATTGATGCTCAGGGTTGGAGAGTTAGAGCTGGAGAGACACAACCCAGTCTCCTCTTGCTTGCAGTCTGATGGGCAAGCTCACAGTACACTGTTTAAAGTGTGTAGTGGATAGTTGCATGGCTGACCATGGGAACCAAGAGTGTAAATGTGGGTCAGCAAGAGATGATGGGGAAATAGCCAGTAGGTGGCTATGTCCAGAATGCACTGAGGCCAGGTCATGCTTGGCTTAGATGTCATTCAGGAATTTGGACTTGAGCTTGTAGTTGGCTTAGGTGTTGTTGGAGGGTCACTTGTAAGGTTGGGGTTTCTTGTTTGCAGTATTTAGTAAAGATTGAATGCTACAGTTCTCTAGATTTTTTTTTTTCCTAGCATTTTAAATCTTCTACACTGAAAAGTTTAACTGTTTTAAGAGATGAAAAATTAGATTGAGGACTTCTTGACTGTCACTTTTGCCTAAAAAAGGCTCCTGTGAGTTTGAATTCTGAACTACCTGTCATTAAGGTGCTGTTTCTACATCTCTAGCAAGATGAGTTATTTCACAGTTGTCGGTGCTGCTCAGCCCTGTCCTATTACCAGGGTGCTGTTGACATTCATTTAGAACTTCCAGGGCCAGACATGTGGCTCTCTTGGTGTGCTTGCCTCTGTGTGGTTCAGTCCCAAGCACCACAAAAATGAGATTCAGAACTTCCAACCTGCAAGTGACTTCAGTAAACTTTCCATCACTGCCTCTCTTGGGGCCAGTGGAATCTTGACCTCAGCTGGTTCTTTTGTAGGCAAAGAAGAAAGCAACTGAGGTCACCGATGAGGATGAAGATGGTGTGGCAGAGAAGAAGTACAGGAAATGTGAAAAGGCAGGCTGCACGGCAGCGTGTCCTGTGTGCTTTGCCAGTGCTTCCGAGAGGTCTGTTTGGAGGGTGAACCTTGGCCTTGCATGAGAGCATGCCTGGTGGGAATAGCGCCCTCCAAGATGGTTTAAGATACGGTAACCTACTAAGGGAGGCTGTTCAGTCACTATACACCACAGCATCCTGGATGCCCTGTGGCGTCTAGCCTAGTGGAGACGATCACATCCAGATCAACCCTGTAATACAGTGTCCTTAAATGTGCAGCCAGCCATTGCTGTCCCTGTTGGGTGTGGGGCACAGGACAGTTGGACTCAAGCTTCCAGCAAGAAACAGCATCTGTTTGCTTTGCACTGTTCTTGCCTCCCTCATGTAGCATGCCTTCTCTTCCACACCCATGTATAGGTCTCCTAGATACTACAGAGTTCGGGGTGCGGCTCAGTTGCTACAGTGCTTGCCTAGGGTGCACCAAGACCTGTGTTCTAACCCCAGCAAAAAAGGGGTGTGCTGATGCATGCCGGATAATTCCAACACTTAGGAACTAGAAGCGGGGGTATCAAGAAATTGGCTGCGTAGCAAATTGGAGGCTAGCCCAAGCTAGAAGAGACTGTCTCAAACAAAACTGCAGAGCCCCATCACCTTTTTTTGTGTCGGGGGGTATGGTTAGGACTTCAAACTCCCAGAGAAAACCTTTGAAGGCTTAATGATTGAAGAAAATTTGAAGGAGAAAAACCCTGTTTTTAAATAGAGGTGGTCACGTTCATGGTGATGCAACTTCGTGTCCTCTCGCTGTATTATCAACAGCTAGACTCACTATGTTGCCAGACTGCCTGCTTGCTGTTCAGACTGCTTCTGGCCAGATGTTATCACTAGTCTTCTCTTACACATGCAAGGGCAGTGCATCGTGGCTTCATCTGTAAAACATTATCCGTGCTCCCGAGAGTCTTGATCTACCTGTGCCCCAGGCTGCCTGTGAAGTTACATATGGCTGACCTGAGTCCTACCTGTGTCCACACTGTCTTGCGTAGAGTGTCTCTGCTCTGAAATTCAAAATGCTGAGACTTTGTAAGTGCTGGTATGATGTTGCAAGTGGAGAGTTCCACACCTGACCACGTGACGGGCCTCAGTCAACACAGGTGCTCTGAAAGTATTATTTAAAATTGCCCTTGGGCTGTGAGTATAAGTGTGAGAATATAAATCTGTTTAGGCTTGGATCCTGTCCTCACTGTGCATAGTACAAGTCTTCCAAATTCCAGAAAACTGAAATCTTAAACGCGCTTGATGCTAAACATTTCCCTGTGGCCTGTCAATCATCCATCCTAGCTTTTCCTGTTAGCTCATGACTCTTAGGAGTTTGAGTGTAGATAATGCAAAATGGGCTCATGGGGCATTGCTTGTTAAATGGAAGCCAGCGAGAAATGTTGTCTTACTAAAGCTGCCCGTATTTGCTCTTTTCAGATGTGCCAAAAATGGCTACACGTCGAGATGGTACCACCTTTCCTGTGGCGAGCATTTCTGTAATGAGTGCTTTGACCACTACTACAGAAGGTTTGCTGACTGAGATCTCCATGGTGGAGGGCACAGTGACGAGGCCGGGGGGAGGGTCTTTTAAGACTTATTCCTTGGACTCAGAGTTGCTGGGCTGTCCAGCCATGCCTGTGGTTAGTCGAACTTTAACGGTAAATTCTGTGTTGTGAGCACTACTCAAAATAGTTTATAGAATCTTAGTGTCCAAAAACTGGAATGGATGAGGAAAGTATATGTACAGTGGACAATTTTTTAGCAAAAAAAAAAAGTCATACCATTTACAGGAAAATGGATGCATCTAGTGATAACCATATTAAGTGAATTAAACCAATTTGAAATATACATGCCATATGCTTTTTCTCATCTGTGGATCCCAGATTTTTTAAAAATTAAAAAAAATTTTATGTGTATGTGTGTATTGCCTGCATGTAGGTAAGTGCACCTGTGTCGTGCAGTGTCCACAGAGGTCAGAAGAGGCCGTTGGATCCCCTGGGACTGGAGTTAGCAACAGTTGTTAGCTGCCATGTGGGTGCTGGGATTCAAACCCGGGTCTTCTGCAAGAACCAGTGTTCTTAACCACTGAGCTATCTCTCCAGCCCCATGATCCCAGATTTTATATAGATAATAAAACCATGTATGTAGGCCAGGTGTGGTGGTGCGTGCCTTTATATAACAATTCCAGGCCAGCTGAGGCTACAGGGAGACTTTTTCTCAAAATAACAAACAAAATTATGTATATATGACATAAAAAGGAGAAATAAAACTGTAGGGGGTGCAGAAAGGACTGATGAGAGTGGTGAGAAGACGGGAATGTATTCAACATGCAATATACATGTATGAGAATTTAAGAGTTAACATTTTTAAAAACTGGATGGTTTAAGTTGGCATGTGTATACACACTAAAATATGTCTTGTCATATATCAGGTATGAGTTCTAGAAAACTTGGAGCTGCTGTGCTATTCAGTGTATTGAGAGTAGGATGCACCCACACATGGGTAGCCATTTTGTATTTTATTTTTTCCTTTTCTCGAATTATCCTAGTTGGTGACATAGAAATTATCTTTAATACTCTAATTTCAATTTTTTTTCTAAGAATTCAGTTTGTATTTTCAGTTTCACTATAATTTTTATTACATTCTTCTTTAGGGGTATTTTTTTAGGGTGTATAGGTAGGGGCAGTGTATCAGTGCTTAGCTGCGGCTGGCCTGAACTCATGTGTGGGCTGGGCTGGAACTTTGCTGCCATTCCTGACTCTGACTCTGATTGATTACAGGCATGTGCTGCAATACCTAGCCTTCGCTTTAGGGTTAAATTTTTTTCCCTCTGGTTTCCTTGGAAGTTGAAAGTTTAAGGTTACTGATTTTCTTTGTAGTTTTTTTTTTTTTTTCTAATAAGTGCGTTTAATGCCCTCATCTTTTCTCCAGATGCTGATTTTGCTGTTTTACACATTTCCTTGAGTTTTATTTCCTTTTGTTAAAATTTTGTGCCCAGACTGGCCTTGAATTCTCATCCTGCTTCAGCCTCCTGAATGTTGGGATTAGAGTTCTGTGCCACCATGCCCAGCCTAGTAATGCTTCTTCAGTACTGGAGATTGAGTGTAAGGCCTTGTGCATGCTAGGCAAGTGTTCTGTCACTAACTGTCCCCCAGACCTCCTTTCACTTAAAGTATTTTTATATTTATTTTTATTTTATTTTTGCCTATAGCCAGTGCTTCTGACTGCCCTCCCTCTCCCCTTTTACTTCTGCTAAGTTGTTCAGATTGACCTTGAATTCACCTGTAGCCTAGGCAGCCCTTGAACTTGTGACCCTTCTGCCTCTGCCTCCTGAGGAGCTGGGATCACAGGCTTGTGCCATCAGGCTTTTACTAGATGTTTTCTAAATGGTGTATTTTTCTGTTTCCTCTTTTTTTGTTCTGATTCTGTTTTTTATTACATTTTACTTCATCTGCCGATAAAATTTTAAAGGCTGCCAAAGGTTTTACCATATTAAATATTCAAAATTTTTTTATGTAGTACTCTACTGGTTTCAGATGCCGGCACTGTTGAGAGCACACCAGTCCTCCTAGTCCATTGTAGAAATGTCTCTCCTTGTACCCAAGGAGAGTAAAGTCTTTTACATAAAATTTATCAACTTGCACTGTATTTTGAAAATCTGATTTACTTACAGGTTGAAATTTTTAATTGTTTTCAGCCATAAAGATGGATATGACAAGTATACTACATGGAAAAAAATATGGACCAGCAATGGCAAAACTGAACCAAGTCCCAAAGCTTTCATGGCAGACCAGCAGCTTCCCTACTGGGTAAGAACAGGGAGGCTCCCCTGTGCTGATGCACTTGTGGGCTAAAATGAGGAATAGGTCACAGTGCTGCTCTTTAGGAAGTCTTTTATTTTTGTGATTATTAAATCAAGTAATTTTTGTTCTGTTTTTGGGAAGGGGCCTCACTGTGTAGCCCTGCATATTCTGGAACTTATGTCAACTAGGCTGGCCTTAGACTCACAGATCTGCCTGCCCCTGCCTCCAGAGTGCTGGGATTAAAGATGTGCACCACTATGCCCAGCTAAAGCAAGAAATTTTTAGTTTTTCAGAAAGCTTGGATAATTCAATATGTGGATTGTGCCCATCCTTTTCTTTTTTTCTGTTTGTGTTATGCTTGTGTAGATGTAATTTGATGCCTTCTACACAAATCTTAACAAGTCACACATTGTGTATAGTCTTCTATAACTTTTCACTTTTTAATCTGTTACATTGCCCTTTTTTCATTTTACCATTGTTTGAAAATAGTATAAAATATACCTCTGTTTAATAAGCAACTTGCTGGTTTCTAAGACATCATTAACCACTCTGAATCTAAATTTTTTTCTTATTGAAGTTAAATGCATGTAATTTAAAAACCATGAATGTAGGTTTTAGGGCTGGGGATTGAATCCACGGCCTGGCCCATGCTAAGCACTTTCTCTGCCTATAACCTAACACTTAAAGTTAACCATTTTGACGAGTGCCGTTCACTGGTATTTAGTGTATTCACAGTACTATGCAACCATCACCTCTAATTCCAAAGTATTTTCTTCACTCACAAAGGAAGCCTGATACCTGGGCAGCAGTCACTCCCCTCCCTCCCCTCAGTGCTCAGCAATCACTCAGCCACTTTCTGTGTGTGGATTTACCTATGTTGGATGCTAAGTATGGACTCCTGTAGTTTGGGACCCACAATGCTTGCCTTTTCTGTGTATTTTATTCACACGGTCAGGATTTTCTTTATGGCTCATAGCACTGGAAGGATAGGCCTCATTGTGTTTATCTGTCTTTAGATGGACACTTGGGTTGTTTCATCTTTCATCTGATAATCACAAAAATGTGAACATGCTTACAGATACTTGTTTGAGTACTGTTTATAGTTCTCAGATAACCTAGGAGTGGAATTGCTGGGTCGTGGTAGTGGGGGGTGGGGGGTGGTCCTGGAACTTAACCCAGGGCCTTGTGCTTGATAGGCTGAGTGCTGTGATACTGACATTCCCAGCTATCTTTACTTTCATTTTGAGGAGTCAGGGTTCACTAAGTTTCCCAGGTTGGCCTTGAACTTGTGATCCTCTGAATAGCTAGGATCACAAGCCTGCGTCACCAGGCCCAGCTTTGTTTTAATTTTTGAGGAACCTTCAGACTCTTTTTCCCATCATAGTCTGTAGTGTGTGAGGGTCAGATTTTGCCACACCCTCACCAACTTTGTTTTCCTGACTTTTTTGAGACAGGGTCTCATGTAGAGCAGAATGGCCTCCGACTTGCTGTGTAGTCAGTATGACTTTGAACTCCCGGTCCTCCTGCCTTCACCCCCCCCCCCAAAAAAAAAACTCTTGCTTTAGTTTTGTAATGCTAGATGTCTGAATAGGTGTACAGTGGCATCTCATCGTGGTTTTGCTCTGTATTTCCCCAGTGCCTGCTGCTTGTTGGCTGTTTGCAAATATTGAGATGTTGCCCATTTTCAAGTTAACTTGTCGGAAGAATATTTATGAATTCTGGATGTAAAACACTTAGATCTGTGCTGGCAAATAGATTTTTTTCCCGCAGATTCCTTTTTCCTTTGCATTCTCGATGAGCTTCCATTTATCTGTTCTCTGCTTGTACTTTCGGTGCCTGCAAGAAACCCGCTGACAAATCTGAGGTCAGAATTCAGACACATTCAGTGTCTGATCATTTTGGTTTTTTAATTTTATGTGTATGCGTATATTGCCTGCATGTAGGTAAGTGCACCCGTGTTGTGCAATGCCCGTGGAGGTCAGAAGAGGCTGTCGGATCCCCTGGAACTGGAGTTAAGGACAGTCTTTAGCTGCCACGTGGGTGCTGGGATTCAAACCCAGGTCTTTAAGAACAGTCAGTGTACTTAACTGCTGGGCTGTGTCTCCAGCCCCACATTTTAGTGTTTGTATATTAGAAAGTCAGATCTGATTTCATTCTTCTGTATTTGGAATAGTTTAAGAAAGCTGCCAAGACAGCTGTGTCCTACTGGTTTCCTCTCCCACTTACAATGGCTGTTACTCAGACCGAGAAATTAACCTGTAAGGTGAATGGCTGCATTAACAAACTATTTGGATTTCATCAACCTTTTTAGTGATGTCCTCTCAGTGACCCAGTATCCAACCCAGGGTACCACAGCTTGCAGTGTATATACTGTAACTGATTGTTTCCTTAGGTCTCAGCTGGGAAATTTTCTAACAGCTTTCAGAACTTTCATTTTCCTTTTGCCTGAGCTAATGTTGAATCAGAAATTACCCTAGTAGTGTAAAAGTGGGTAGGTGATGCAAAGGCAGGAAAAAATACTGGGACTGTTAGAATGTCAGTTAAGGGGCCTGGAGATGTAGAGCAGTTTCTACCATCCACAAAACCCCAGGTTCAATCCCCAGTACCAAAAAAATGGGTCTGGGTCACATGGAGGTGGTGTGTGGAGTTGCAGGGTCACATGGAGGTGGTGGTACATGGAGTGCAGGGTCACATGGAGGTGGTGGTACGTGGAGTGCAGGGTCACATGGAGGTGGTGGTACGTGGATTGCAGGGTCACATGGAGGTGGTGGTACGTGGAGTGCAGGGTCACATGGAGGTGGTGGTACGTGGATTGCAGGGTCACATGGAGGTGGTGGTACGTGGAGTGCAGGGTCACATGGAGGTGGTGGTACGTGGAGTGCAGGGTCACGTGGAGGTGGTGGTACGTGGAATGCAGGGTCACATGGAGAATATGGTACGTGGAGTGGAGGGTCACACGGAGGTGGTGGTACATGGAGTGCAGGGTCACATGGAGGTGGTGGTTATGTGGAGCGCAGGGTGAAAGTGGCTCCAGATTAGCCAGTTTATGGATCTTGACTTAATTTCCTATCTAGGTTCAGTGTACAAAACCCGAGTGCGGAAAGTGGCGGCAGCTTACCAAGGAAATCCAGCTTACTCCACACATGGCAATGACTTACCGGTGTGGCATGAAACCAAATACTACTGCCAAGGTATGATTTCTGTGGGTATCTTTTGAACTAGTTGATGTATCAGTTTACTTGTCAGTAAGTAATCATAGTGTGTATTTTTGTTTTGTGTATTAATCATTGCACCAGGGTTGGTCTGTGTAGACAGCCCTAGCTACAGTTGGTTTAACTATGTTAAAGATTTGATGTTTCTCTCTATGGGTAGTTTGGTAATGACTGTCCAGGGTTGGTTTAGTTACCCAGAATCACTGTCTAGTAGCTCCAGCTGGCCTTATGTAGACCATGCTGGCCTTGGTCTCAGATCTTCCTGCCTCTGCCTGAGTGCTGGGATTAAAGGTGTGAGCCATCACATCTGGCTACTGGTGCTGTTTTAATAGATGTAAAATGGTATCATGGGGCTGGAGAGGTGTTTCAGTGTTTGAGTGTGTACTGTTTCTGCAGAGGACCTACGTTTGGTTCCCAGCACCTGTGTCAGGTAGCTCACAACTACCTATAACTTGGGGACTCCAGACTCTTTTGTCCTCAGGTACCTGCGTGTACATGTACATGCACACATGCACACGCACAATTAAAAATAAAAATTGCGTCTAATTTTTGAGATATTGTTAGATACCATAATTCTATGCATGGAGCTTAAGTGAGTCATTGAGTTTTGGAAAAGGTCTGCAGAGTGCAACTAGTGTGCTGCTCAGACATGGAACCTTTCCTTCAGTGCAGATGTTGTGGGTACTGCCTCTCTTCTAGAGGCAGCTGTTCTCACTTGTAGCCCCGTAGATTAATTTTTCTGACTTTTAAACTTCATAGAATGGAATCGGCCAATATTAGCTCTTAAGTTTCTTTCACTGTATACAGTTTTGAAGACCCATCTGTTGTATGATCAATAAGGTTTTTTGTTTAACTTTATTCTTTGCAGTACTAGGCATTGAACCCAGGGCTTCCACATGCTAGGCAAATGCTCTACCCCAGGCTCTATCCCAGCCCTCTTCACTTTTTTATGTTCAGACAGGGACAGGGTCTCCCTAAGTTGTCCATGGTGGCCTTGAACTTGCAATATCCCAGGCAGGCTTTGAGTTTGCCATCCTCCTGCTGCGCCTTCAGCCGGGATGCAGGCCTGGCTCACATGGTAGTTTTTTATCTCAGAATGCTGTTGTGTAGTCTGTGTGCGCCACACTTCCTTTAAACATTCTTGTGTGGAAGGATACTTGTGTTGGGTTTTGACTGTGTGACTGACTCGTGATGATGATGTGCTAGTGTTTTCATTAGTATGGGTGACTCTGTAGAATAGTCATGTGGCAAACTTATGTTTGGTGTCGGGGATACTGCCGAGTGGCTGTTGTAGCATATTTCGGCATTTGGAGGCATCTCTTTTCTTTTCCTGTTGTGGTTCTAGTGTGTATGTAGTAGGTTTTTAAAATTGAGTCAGTCTTCCTGATTCATAGGAATTCTTAATATCTAAATATGTATATATTTTGCATATTTTTCTTAGTCTGTAGCCTTTCTGTTTTCTTGTGATGAAGAATTAATTTTTTTGAGATTTTTTTTTTTTTTTTTTTTTGAGGCAGGGTCTCCCTATAGCCCCAGGTGGCCTGGAACTTGCTATGTAGACCAGGCTGGCCTTGAACTCAGATTTGCCTTCCTCTGCCTCCTGAATGCTGGGATTAAAGGTGTGTGCCACTAGGCCTATCTTTTTGAGATAGCATCTTGCTGTGTTTTCAGCTTGAGGTGGTGGTTCTGCCTCATCTACTGAGTGCTGAGATTATAGGCATGCATCTCAGCACCTGGCAGGAATTTTTTCATTGTTTTGAGTCAGGGTTTCACTGTGAAGCCCAAACTGGTTACTATTTTTTGACAGGGTCTCACTATGTAACCCTTGACTGTGTAGACCAAGCTGGCCTTAATTTCAGAAGTCTGTCTCTGCCTTTCATGCTGGAATTACAGGCATCCACCACCACACCCAGCAAGGCTGACTAATTTTAATAAATTAAAAATGAATTTATATGTTATGTTCACGAATGTGAACACATTATGGAATGGTTACTTTGGGCTAATTTATCTGCACTTATGTGTGTAGGTATGTAATATTTTTTTTTAATGAAAACACTTAAAATTAGTGATTCTCAGGCTTCACCTTCAGGATAGAAGGCCTCTGAGAGGTGGAAGAGAAGAAAATGGGAAGGCCTCGGCAAGGGGGTGGGCAGTCCCCTGCAACTTGATGGCTGCCTAGTGTGAACAGGGCCTGCTGGGGAGGTGGCTGAGATGTCTTTCAGTCCGTGGAACAGGATCAGCCACTCTAAACCAACTCTGTGCCTCATTAATTCTCAATGCAAAGACCTCTGGGTGGCCTTCCATTCTGTTACTTAAAGGACATCTTACCTTTCTCCCACTATTTCTCCTTGTGGGAGAGGGTCTGCTTTGAACATGCTGTGAGCCAAGGATGACCTTGATCCTCGGATCCTCCTGCCTCTGTCTCCTGAGCGTTGGGCAGGCATGTGGTACTTCGCCTGCTTTGTGTACTGCTAGGGGTGTAACCTGTGCCTTTGTGCATGCCAAGCAAGCAGTCTACCAAGCTGAGCTGTGTCCCCTAGTCTGTTCTGTTTGTTGATGCAGGGTCTGACTTTGTAGAGCAGGCTGGCCTAATTCAGATCCTCTTGCCTCGGCATGTCCCGATTGCTACGATGACAAGTGTTCACCACTATACCTGGCTTTTTTGTGTTTGCTTTAAATCAGTTTTCCAAATTTATTTTTCTGTAACATCCTCACTGCCACTGCTGTGTGAGTTCCTTCTGTTCCAAGATCTTTACTTTGGTTTGTCACCTGATGGGTTCTATTTTAACATCAAGCATTTTTTCCCCCAGGTAGGTCCTCAGATGTCAGATTTGTTAAGTTTTCAAAAATGTAATGCCTTTCTCTCCTCACCCCACCTTGCAAAGCCTGATCTTTCCCTTTCCCAAGTTCCAGCTGCTAAGGATGAGTTGAGCTCTCTAACCTGCCTGTCATCAACCTCTGAGACCCTTCCATCTTCTTGCTCCCTCTGGACTGGTCACTGCCTATAACATGAATTTTTGAAGTCTTTATTTAAACGAGTCATGTTGGTTCTGTGTGCTGTCAAGGGTAAAGTCAAGGCAGGCTTATTTGTAGAGCAGCAATAAACAGTATAGTAAACCCTTTTGTATTCACTTACTTGAGGGGAGGTGGGGAGGACATGCTACAGTTCATGTGGAAGTCAGAGAACAACTTAATGGGTGTTGATTTCTCTCCAACATGTGGATTCTGAGGCTCAAACTGAAATCATCAGGCTTGGCAGCTAGTACCTTTGCCCATTGGGTTATTTCGCCAGCCCCTGTTTTTATCTTGCTTTTGGTCATTCATCTGTCTTCCCGAGGCTTCTGAGTACATAGGAATCGCTTTAGGATCTTGAATGTATAGTCCACGGAGAGGGCAGATAAACCATGTTTGACCCTTCATGCTTACCTTTGACAATGGCCTGGAGTCGGCAGCTTTCTGTTGATGACATTTTTGAGTGTTTTGGTAGCGTGAGTTTCTAAAAGTGAAAGTTTCCATGTCAGAGGGATGAGCAGTTGTTTCAATGTGAAATAATTTCCAGATGCAAATTGGATTCATGATGAGCACGTGAAGACTGAAGAATTTCAGTGAGCGCTCACACCCAGCACCGTTAGAGACAGCACATGCTGTGGCTTTGCCCCATTTCGAACCTACACAGTTCTCTTCCTCCCTCTTCAACACTTCTGAGTTGTTTGTCACTGCTCTTTGTTAGAGTTGGCATCTGTTTCTGGAAGCTGGGCCGTGTGTCAGGTGGCACTTTGTCCTGGTTGTGAATGACACCACTTTGCTTTTCCTCTGCAGCCTGTTCCCATCAGTCAGCACTGGGGCTTTGGGTGCACGTGCTTGTCTGAGGTGCTGGTTTTTCCTTGCTGAGTAGTATCTCCTGTCATGTGGTAGGAATCTGTACACTGAATCTGTTTTCCTGTTTGAGGATTTGAAATTTGTTTCTAATTTTTGGCTGCTTTCTACAGCGTTAACCTGGCACATTCTTGTCCAGTCTTGCCGAGGTCTCTATTCATTCATGCAC